GGCAGGCCTGGTGCGATACTCGAAAAGGGAAAGCGGGTAACGTAGAGTCCTGGCCCAGCCGAGGGAAACACCGGGGATCGCAAAGGCTTAGAGCACGACACAATGGTGGCTCTTCTTCGCGCCCTTGGGCCGGATGAGGAGCGCAGCACGCGTCGCGTACTGGAACACCTCACGTACGCCCTCACCCGTCCGTGCCGAGCACTCGAGATAGTGACGGGCACCAATCTTCTGTGCTACCGCCATGCCCTATTCACCAGTCGAAGTCAGCATGACGCAAAGAGGGTGGGCTCCGCCGAGACGCATGCAAAGGGCATGGCACAGGTGCACAAAACAACGACGCACCTCCTCGGGAGTGACCGGCCGCTGGTTGGTCTTCCTCAGCTCCTCAATGACCCTGGGGTCCCGCCGGAGATCCTTCTTGCAGCCGACCAGGATAACCGGAAGCCCGGCGCAAAAGTGCATCACCTCGGAAATCCACTGTTGACGTGTGGAGCGGGCGCGGTCAGAATAGCACGCATGCATCATCGAGGTGCAAGACAGACCTTCTCCTGTACGTTGTCAAGCGAATCGGGCGAGTCCACGGCGAAGCAGATGAGGATGACGTGGGAGTCGGGGTAGGACAGGGGGCGGAGACGATCGTAGTCCTCCTGGCCGGCGGTATCCCAGAGGGCGAGCTCGACGTGCTTGCCATCGACCTCTACATCGGCGACGTAGTTCTCGAAGACGGTGGGGACGTAAACCTGTGGTGATAGTTAGCGCCAGGGAAACGCACGCGATCATCGCCACGTCTGCAGGTGCGCGCGGGCAACGCGACAATTAAAAGGTGGACCACTGACCTCGGGGAAGGTTCCCTTGGAGAAGACGATCAAAAGACAGGTCTAGGGAGCGCAGAGTGAGTTGTGAGTGAGCTGTGAGGGAAGTGGTACGATTGTGGTTGAATGGAGCGCACCTTTCCGCAAGCACCATCACCGACGATGACGAGCTTCCTGCGAATTTCGGACATGAGGGGCGTGAGGACGGCAGGCGGAGGACAGTAAGGACGACGAGGAGGGCGTGGACGCGGCGGGAGTGGTTGTTGGCGACGAAGGAGAGGATGAGGACGACGAGACAGACGACGGGGAAGCGGTGAGATAGGCCGGGCGGGCTTTTCAGCGGGCCTTCAACTCAACCCAAACACAGCTTGAGTCGCCATTACGTCAGCACCCAGGCCCGTGCGTGCGAATGACCTTCCCCTTCTGGATGCACTGCCCACCGGGGCAGACCCAACAGCGAGCAGCCGGCGGCATTCGTCCTCGACCGCAGTGAGCTCAACACGGCCCACGTCGTTCAACAACTTTGTCTACTCCAGCAAGCAACGTGCGACGGCCACATATTCGCCCTCTGGTCCCCAGCTACCCATCTCGCACACCTCGATCGCCTCGACCGCCCACTCGCCAAAGTCGACCTGCACAGGCCCCTTCAAATTCTCCACATGTTCATCTTGTCCCGCCTCCTGCGCCCGCACCGCCTTCAGGGCGTCCGAAGCTAGCACCGAGCTGTACGAGAACGGCGTTCGCGTTCTTCCGCGCGGCTTTCTGTAGATTGTGTTCAACACCGTGCAATGCAGCTGTGCTCGCTCTCATCAGCCTTGGCGACTCTCGGACTTCGTGGTGGTGCTTGCCTTCAGTTCTCGCTTCTCGTCTACCAGCAAATTTGCTCGCTTGAACGCCTCCACTATCGCATCTGGGCCCACACTCGTTAGCTGCTATCTCCCTTCGACCACGAAGAACTCTACGCACCGGCTACACGCCTCAGTTTTCTTGCGCTTTCGCTTTCGAGCGACGGTCCGATCCACATCACGTTCGCCCGCTCCCGGCTTCCCCGCTCGGGTTTCAGGATGTCCATCCTGTCCAACCTCACAACCAACTTCTCTCCACCCAGGATCTCAAGAATCTTCGGCCGCAGTTCCTGCAAGACGTTCTTTGCCATCTCGAGTGTTCGCTGCTTCTCCTTTTCAACATCGAGCGACATCACGCCGAGCGTAAAGTGCAGCCGCCGTGGGGGTATCACGACCGTCGCGTCTAGCCCCGGGATAATAAGCGTTGCCGCCAGGAGCGCGTCCGTGAACGTACCGATCGTCTCGCGCAGCCTTTCGTGGTGGCCCTGTACCGTGAATGGTCAGATGTGCGTCCAGATACTCTGTGTATGCTGTAACATACCATCGGAAGCGCAATGACTACAGGTTCAAAACTTCAGTTCTGCGCGAGTGTAAAAACATTAGCGGGACTTACAGTGCGTCAGACGGGGTCTGGACATTTTCTCTGCCGGAGGCCTAGTGGATCCCGTCGAACCATCTGGCGCGGATGGCCCAGCGACCGCGTTCCCTCCCATCTGCGGCTGAAGCGTCGTGCCACGACCACTGCCCCGCCCGCGGCCTCTCCATTGCCCTCTTCCACGTCCGCGGGCGCGCCCTCCGCCGCGTGTGTGACCTCCACCGACGCTCGAAGATGTAGGTCCTACTCCGTCGTTGCTCATGCGGGTTGGTACGGAGTCTACGCTCACGAGAACCGTAGCGGACTGCTTGTGCGTCGTGTATTGGACAACACGTGCTGTAAACAGTGCGCGTGTGGTACGCGAGGAGGTCGCTGCAGCTGCAGCGTTGTGGAGCATAAGAAGGACGCTTGCGGCACGCTCGAGCCTTGGTCAATCTTCGAAGCTGGAGACGGGCCGTCGGGCCGAGGTCGGTTTGCGTTCGAGCGTCGAGGCAAGTCCTCTTCGCTGGCCACCCGTTCTTCCGCTACCTTCACTAGCTGTTTGTGACGCTCTCATTTCACCCGCATAGGTCGGAATGCCAAGCTGTCAATATTTCAATCCGAGCACATCACCCGACTAGGATGAGTTCGTGCGGCGCCCGCTTCCTCGACCACCTGCACTGCTTCCGTGCGTATCGCCGAAGGCTTCCCCGCATTGGCATTCATATCTCAACTATAGGTTCCCGCGGCAGAACGGCGAATGCCTCTCACCATATCACAGAGGATTCAGGCAGTGCATCTCTCTAAGATTCGAAGATCTACATGTAAACATCCCTGTATGCCGTGGACGTCGCCCTTTCTGACGCTGACCGTCCGCATCACCTTCACCCTCCATGGGTTCCAACATCTCTCGACTCTGGTCCACCTTGCCGTCAAAGCCGCCTTCCATCTGTGTAGACTGCTGGGAGGGTCCTTTCGCTGCTCGCTTGGGTCTCTTCCACAAGCCGGTTCGAGCGACGCGTGGTACAAGTGGCGGGTATTCATACTCTACCTCGTATGCCCAGCTCGAGTGCCGCGCCGCCCTCAGCTGTGTTTGGTGTCGATTTCTACTCACGAATCTCAAACTTATCACAGACTTCGATATCGAAGGCTCTGAGAGGCGCTTGAAAATCACTGTGGGGCGCCCGGGGTGGGCAAGAATCTCCAACCCTAACGAGGCAGTGCATAGGCCAACGAATGCTCAGGAATTCGTAATACTCCACAAAGGTCACATACTGGTCGAAGGGTGTGTGCATACCGCTGCAGGTGGGTCTACAGTCATTTACGTCTCCTCGTGAGCAGAAATTGAGCTATGGTTTGCCTAGATGACCACGCTGCACCGTATATCTTCACGCGAAGCCCTGTGCTCGATGTTGGATCCCCTCGCGCTCTCTCGCTCGCACAGGCAAGCATCGACGAGTGCGTGCACAAGCACACGCGCTGCATCCAGCTTTCACCCTCCTTCGATCCTCGCCTCCCTACACGACTTGTCGACTGTACCGAACTCAAGCGCCCGCGTCTAGTCTCGACAGGTGGTAGACGCGGCAGGTACCTCGCCCTTAGTTATGTGTGGGGCGAGGCGCAACCCCACCAAACTACCACATCCAACGTATCTGCTTATTCCGACGGCATCTCCCCCTCCATCCTTCCCAGAACCATCCGCGATGCGATCTATGTCACGCGTATCCTCGGGTTTCAGTTTCTTTGGATCGATAGCCTGTGCATCATCCAGGACTCGAACGAGGACAAACTGCACGAACTGGGGCGCATGCACCGCGTCTACCGCTACGCGTACCTCACCCTCATCGCTGCCAGCGCCCGGAAAGTCAGCGAGGGCTTCCTTCAAACCCGACCCGCTTGCCCGCGCGACGTCGCGTTTCCTTTCCCCTGCGCCTCACCCGCTCTGCAGGTGGGCAAGATCAACCTCTCTGTGACCACCCTCCCGCGCTCGGGCCCGAGCTACGCACAGCCCCGCATCGAAGAGCCCATCAACGCACGGGGCTGGTGTCTCCAAGAATACTACATGTCCCCTCGCGCGCTGATATTCGCCTCGAACACGCTCCGATTCCGATGCCAGACGAGTACGCAAAACGTCGGCTACGCATACTACAACCAAGTCCGCGAGCGGCGACTGCCCCACGTGCTCTTCCTTCGACGCCCGCCCCCAGCAGTGTACGGCGGTGAGGACTGGACTGCCGTGCACAGGGCGTGGTGGGACATCGTCGAAGACTACAGCCGACGCGTCGTGGGCACGCCTTCGGACAAGCTCGTCGCATGCGGCGCGATCGCAGACGCGTTCCAGCGAGTACTACGCACCGAGTACCTCGCCGGATTGTGGCGCGACACGTTCCTCCAGGACCTGCTGTGGGAGAAAGACGGGGAGGCGCGCTTGGAGCGTCCGGCGGCCTTCCGTGCGCCGTCGTGGTCCTGGGCCGCCGTCGACGGGAGGCTGAAGATGAAGTCGCAGAACTATTTGGACGGGGTCGCGCTTGCGGAGGTGGTCCGTTGCACGGTCATGCTCAAGGACGCCGAGCTTCCATTTGGGCAGGTCATTGGCGGATCCCTCGTTCTGCACGCTCCTTTGATACCGTACGACGCGCAGTCACGGCCTCCATCTTCGCTCGAAACGGCCATGAACGACGAGGCAGATGCAGCACGAATCTGGAGCGCGTGGCTCGTCCCGCTCTGGAGGCCCAATTCGTTTTGGATGACCGGTCTCGTCGTTGCGCGCGCCGACTCGGATAGCCCGGGCGGCAGGGAGGTCTACCGGCGGGTTGGGAAGTTTGGCGCAGATCCTCTGGATGAGTCCTACGTCGATGCGCTCGAAGAACTGGTGGAGGTCGAGATCATATGATCGAAACTCCAGACATCCCCCGCTTGGATGTACGCATCAAGTGCAGACTCGCAATTGTGCCGCCTGTGGAGAAGCTTCACGCCTCTACCCCAAGATTACGGAACGTATGTACGGTACTCTTCGATCTCAAGCCCGCTCCTTTGCAATCAATATACACTTCAAGATCTGGAAAATTATTTCGAGATTGCGGTGCACGATGCGAGAGGCGCCTGTCGAACAGCTTGTTCCGCTACGTACGCCACGACGCCGATACCGACATGGTCCCTTCGGAAGCAGAGTACAGTACTGCATTCCGGCCGTACTTCAGCTGATTCGGAGCTGGGGGGCAGGAATCCAGAGAAGAGATACCGGGCCCGGCAGGATGGCGGGTTCACAGGAATACGTACGTATCAGCAATTGCACACTGGATAATGTTGACATGTTGACAGATCGACGTGCTGGCAATGATGATTGTCCTGTGCTAGTAAGTTGCGGCGCTGTCGAAACTATTCTGCCCAGGATGCTGTATACTCCAGTCGGCATATATTGGCACGATGTGACGACTCTCTGATGTCGCTTTTTCGATGCCTTTCCTCCCGACCTTCCCGGGTCCCCCGCTCTAATCCTCCATGGGTGTCAAACCCTCTCGAGCGCTGCCGCCTCGACCATCCGGTCTTTGCGAAAACTGCTGGAGAGGTCCTTTTGCTGCGCACTTCGGCCTCTTCCACACTCCAATCAAGTGGAAGTGGAATGGACAACGGTTCCTTTTTGGCGGAGGGTATACGTATCTCACTTCGGGGTCAGGACTGGGCTACCCTGCCGCTTCAAGTTGTGCATGGTGCACGTTCTTAGGCAAACTGTTGGCAAAAGATGCCCGATCCGAAACACTCAAACAACGGCCGAATGGCCAGTGGAAGATCACAGTCGGCTTATGTCCAATAAACGCCGGTTCGCCTGCCAACGCGCAAGTACTCGGGGTGGTCATTAACGGCGTCTCAAGGCTCTACACAGGTCTTTTGCACACACCCACAAGTGAGTTCGCATGTTTCATGCTAATAGATCCTGATATTGACGTCGTTCATCAGGCAATCCCGCAGCACCATATATCGTCGCACGAAATCCTCTCCTGAACGTTGGATCCCCGAGCGCGTTCTCGCTCGCAAAAGTACTCATCAATGAGTGCGTGCATCAACACATACGCTGCAGCCAAATCTCGCCTTCCTCCGATGTTCGTCTCCCCTCGCATCTCGTCGACTGCACACGCCCCGCTCGCCCGCGCTTGGTCTATACGAAGGGCGTATACGGCAGGTACCTCGCACTCAGCTACGTGTGGGGTGAGGAACAGCCGCACCAAACCACCACATCAAACGTGTCTGCCTACTCTGCCGGGATAGACGCATTTCTTCTCCCTCAAACCATCCGCGACGCGATCTCGGTTACGCGCACCCTCGGGTTCCAATACCTTTGGGTAGATAGCCTATGCATTGTGCAGGATTCGGACGAGGACAAGCTACACGAACTCGGGCGAATGCACCTCATCTATCGCTACGCATACTTCACCATCATCGCCGCCAGCGCGGAGCGGGTCAGCGACGGCTTCCTTCAACATCGCCGGGCGAACCATGACATCACGCTTCCATTCCTCTGTCCTGTGCGCCCTCCTGCGCCCGGGAAGAGCGTGGAGGACGTGTTCCGGGTCGGCAAAGTACGCGCTACTTCCCTAGGCATCACAGAGCACGGGACAGTCCTGTCGGGCGGGGATTCAGCAAGCGAGCCCATTCACAAGCGGGGCTGGTGCCTGCAGGAGCTGTACATGTCACCGCGCGCCCTCATCTTCACGTCCGAAACACTGCGGTTCAGGTGCCAACAGATCACGAAGAACGTCGGAAACTCCTTCTACCATCCCACCTCCGCCGAATTACGCCTCCCCGACGTGCTCTTCTACCATCCCACCTCCGCCGAATTACGCCTCCCCGACGTGCTCTTCTGCCCTGACGCGTTACCGACCATGGAGCGAAGATCCAAGGAATGGTGGGCTATTCACCGAGCGTGGACCGACATCGTACATCAATACACCCGGCGCACCATCGGGAAGGCGTCGGACAAGCTCGTTGCGTGCGGTGCGCTCGCCGAGGCGTTCCACCGCGTCCTAGGATCACACTATGTCGCGGGACTGTGGTGCGACACCCTCCTCCAAGATCTGCTCTGGGTCAGAATGGAGGACGATCGTCTTCGGCTCAAGACCGGAGACAGCCGTCCAGCGCAATACCGCGCGCCATCGTGGTCTTGGGCGGCCGTCGAGGGCGCCGTCCGGATCCGGACGGAACCGGAGCTCGTAGACGTGCAAACCGTTGCGGAGGTCGTCCACTGCGATGTCGCGCTCAGCGACCAGGAGCTTCCGTTCGGGGAGGTGACGGGCGGCGTCCTCGTCTTGCGCGCGGCGTTGATACAGCCCGACTGCGCGTTACGCTTTGGCTCCTCGCGGGACGAGGTTCGGATCTCCTCTACCCGACTTGCGCATCGCTGGGGTCCGAATGCCGACGGTTCTGCCTACGAGGGCAACACCATATTGGAGGGTGGGACGCTTCCCGGGTGGTGCACCGCGGACTACGCTGCTGACCGGTGGATTGGGAGCACTCCCGTACGGTGGCTCGTCCCGCTCTTGCGGCACAACTTCTTGTCTGACGTGCATGGTCTTATCGTGGCCCTCGCGGATCCTGGCCTCCACTCAGGCGCGGAGAGCAGGAAGGTCTACCGCCGCGTTGGACAGTTTCGCGTGGACGCAGATTCGTGGGACTCGCTGTGGCAAGCTGGCGGGCCTCTGCCCTTGCCAATGGTGGAGATCGAGATCGTATGAACACGATTTCGCTGCCGCGACCATCTGGGACCTACTCCCGACGCTTCAAGGATAGCTAGGCTGAAGAAGGAGGTTCCTAGAGTACAATCGGCCGGTACTTGCATTGGGTCATTTGCGTTGTAGTACTTAACTGGATAGAGTGTACTGAGCTGGCTGATTTTGCGCTCTGGAATTTGAAGCAACATTCAGTGACTCCGAACCAAGTGTTGCCATGGCTGGTGTCGGCGTAAGTACTTTGAAGACAGTTATGGCGGTAGAATGAGGGACTCGTTAGGCGTTTAAACATGTTGCGGGCTGACGCGGAGCTTAAGCGCCGGTCTGACCTTGTTCCGCGACCACCACTGCTCGCCGACTTGCTGCTCCTGAGTCTCTTGGTCTCCCCGCTTTACTCAACATATCATCTGAGCTGCCTCTCTCTCCTTTCCTTAACAAAGGAGCCTTGTCTACTGGACGTATCGCGCCGCGCTGCCGAACGGAGAGTCCACGGTTCAAACTCGCTCCCTGGATGCCCTTGCCTTCACCTCGAAGGTCTTAGCTACGGGTCAAGTCGTCTCTGCTTCGTATCCGTAGGGTGAGTTGCAATTATCTTTGGACAACACATTGAAGCCTTAATATCTCCACATCTCCAAAGATCAAGCGCAGACGAGCCCAAAGCCCAGGCTACGCATCACCCCATATATCCTGCGCGTCACGTCGCGAACTCGCCCTACGTCCCTGCAGCAACGATGCCTTTTCACATCCCATCTGTGCGCATCGCGCAAGCTTCGCCCTCTATCTCGCTCGAGAAGGGTTCCTACCGTATGCGGCCGCCGCCCGCACGCCTTTCCGTCTCCCCTTCGCCCTCATCCGCAGACGCCCTTTCGCGGTCTGCCCGAAAGGCTCGCGCGCCCCCAGAAGTGTTGCCAGGAAAGGTGGTGGAGCTCGTCCCAGCCTCCTACGAGAAACGGATGGCGCTCCTCGTCGCTGTCTTAGCCTGTGCTATGTTGGCGAGTTTTGGAACAGCGTACTGGCTGTTGCGCACGGGCCATACGTACAGGTAAGCACCTTTTTTGCGCGATTCAGAAGGGCTGGAGGCTGACGATCCAGCTGCAAGATGATCTACGGACGATCGTTGCGCCACTTGCTTTCCATCAAGTTCTGTTATCCTGCTGTGCTCGTAAGGTTTGTCTTCATATGTCGTATTTATCGCTCTGTATGGACGTCGTTGCATTACCTGGTTTCGCGTGTACGTACACACTTGCTCTTCTCGCATTTATCCCACATTGCTATCGTATGCACTCCCGCTCCTCGAGAACCACGCGAAGCGACACCAGCCCTTCGCCACTGAGTTTTTTTCGTCCGTCCTCCCTGCATGAACACGCTCATATCGACGTCTGCGTTCAGTCTGCTAGCATTCGTTTCTGGTACGTTTTCCACGTGTGCTACGCCACCAACTACACTGAAGAGTTATCCAGGATCCGCAGCTCGATTTACCAGCTGATGCTACCTACGCACGGCGTGCACAATCGCTAACGAAGCCGTCGCGTATGCCCTTGCAGTGGACTGCAATGATTTGTACCTCGCGAAGCAGTATGTGCCAGTCGCCGCGACAAAGGGCGGCGTACAGCTCTGCTGTTAACGTATCGAAGGGCTTATGTCTAGTATTGCTCCAGTATGTCCCCTACACCTCGGCTGGTAAGAAGCTCACAGCGCGTCTTCAGCGTCGCAGTGCCCGCTATAGGTCCAGTTGACATGTGTGACCCCGAGATGTCTCCTTAGATGTTGCACGGGAAGGCTTTTCGCTGCGTACCGTCTCCAAGCGCGTCTCGCAAGTCACAACACGCGCCCGCACGTCATATCCCGCAGTATTGCCCTTGAACTCAATCTTTCCCGAGAGCGACAGGCCGATGTCCTCTGAACGCTAATGCGTCGTGGTGGTCGAGAAGCGTATTGCATCCGTCGCTCTCTATATCAGCCCCGCTCTCCTTCGATATCATCGCACCCCCGACATCGTCCTCTTACAGAACAAATGGCTGAACCGAGAACTACGCCTGCAGCCGGTCACGATACCGGCACCCGACCGCTACTAGGCCCGGGCGCGAAACGGGCGCGGTCAGTTTCGTCCGACAGCACTGTGGAGGATGACAGTGTGGAAGGCTCTTTGTGAGTGCCGAACGCAACGGTACTGTACGAACACTGACGATCATTCTTGACCACATTTACAGCCATACCGCATCGCGTACTTGGTCGATGGAGCCGGATCGTAAGGCGCGCAAGAAGCGCTCGCAAGACACTACGCGCAGGAAGGCTACCGTCCCAGAAGAACGCGGGTGAGTGCAGCGCATTTCCAAGCCTTCACTTCGTTTTTATAGACTCCTGGCAGGTACTCCTTACCCCCCAAACCACCCGCCATCTGTCAAGTTTGCTGGGACGGCCCCATCGCGGCCCAATACGGGCTGTTCGAGGAAGGCGAAGACGACGACCCATCCCCGTGGAATTGGGTCGACGGCTTCTCATTCTCGACGTCGTGGGCGACCCTCAAGGCCGGTGCCTCCGAGGGCTGTTCGTGGTGCCAGCTCGTATATGCAACACGCGGGGAACAAGACGATCCGGAATCCACTACTGCTGTATCGGTTCGCGTGGGCAACGGCGGCCCGTTGCCGAACTTCTCGCCGAGAGGAACGCAGGCGATGTATGTGTGCGTAGACGATGAGCCCTATTTTGGCGGGTACGTCTACACGGCCGCAGGTAAGCTCGTCTGATAACTAGTATATGTATGCCGTTCATGACGCTGCGGTGAACGCATTACTCAGACGACCCCGCGGCAGCGCATATCGTCGCGCGCCGACGGATTCTAAACGTGGCGTCCCCGCACGCGCTCTCCCTCGCGAAGACATACATTGACGAGTGCGTTCACGACCACCCGAGCTGCATCGCGTTAGCACCTACCGCTTGCGACTCTCCTCTCCCCACTCGCCTAGTCGACTGCAGCGATCCGAATCGCCCGCGCTTAGCCACAACAGACGGCGCACAAGGGAAGTACGTTGCACTGAGCTACGTGTGGGGAGAGGCGCAACCACATCGCACTGTGATGGAAAATTCCTCCGCCTACGCCAACAGGATCGGTATTCTCCCGCAGACTATCCGCGATGCGATCCAAGTCACCTATGAGCTTGGGCTTCAGTACCTTTGGACGGATAGCCTCTGCATCATTCAAGACTCGGACGAAGACAAGCGACGGGAGCTAGGGTGTATGCATCACATCTATCGCGATGCGCACCTAACCATCGTCGCCGCCAGCGCCAACAAAGTGAGCGAGGGTTTCCTGCAAACTCGGCCGGCCGCACCCTGGTCGAAATCTACCACATTCCCGCACGAAATCGCCCTCCCTTTTATTTGTCCCCCGAGTACTCCATCGTCGACCAGCGGTACAGACGCCCCGACCTCTACTCTGGGCGAAGTATACGTATGCCCGACATACACACGCGCGGACAACATGATCAACAACTACAGTCACGCCTGGGAGCCCATCAGCGCGCGCGGCTGGTGTCTACAAGAGTACCTTATGTCCCCCCGCTCGCTCATCTACACCTCACAGACGCTCCAATTCCGGTGCCAGACTACGACGCAGAACATCGGCGGCGCCGTTCACGAAGCAGGCGACGAACGTCGGCTCCCCGACAAGCTCTTCTTAGCAGACGCGCCTCCCGCGGCGCGGATCTCGAAGGAGTGGCTCGACGTGCGCAAGGCCTGGATGAGCGTCGTCGAGGACTACACGCGGCGCACCGTGGGCGTCTCCGCGGACAAGCTCGTCGCGTGCGGTGCTATTGCCACTGAGTTCCAGCGCGTCCTCTGCACGGATTACCTCGCGGGCCTCTGGCGCGACACCCTTCTCATCGACCTACTGTGGCATAAGGAAGAGGGTGCAGACATTCCTCGCCCGTCCGCATATCGCGCGCCGTCGTGGTCGTGGGCCGCGGTCGACGGAAAGGTCGCTCTAGGACACGGATTGTGGTTAGGCATGCGGCCGAGCGCGGACAGCGGGCCAGTGGCGGAGGTAGTCCGGTGCGAGGTCACGCTCGAGGACACTGCACTTCCGTTCGGCCAGGTGACAAGTGGAACCCTCACCCTTCGCGCGGTCTTGGTGCGGTGCGCGCTTGGTCTGGAGGAAGGAGTCCTTCGTCTTCGACTGCAATCGGCTAAATCCGCTCGAGACTGTGCTGGAGGAGAAGACACCGACGGCGGTGCCGAGGTGCGCACGGAGCACGTTGGATGGGCGTACCTCGACAGCGACGCGGATATGGATGTCGAGAAAACGTGGGCCGTGCCGCTCATGCGCGATGAGATGTTGACGGTGGGCCTCGTTATCGCTCTAGTGGACCCAGGGAACTTGCACGCGACGGGGATGAGAAAAGTGTTTCGACGGGTCGGCTTTTTCGATCTCAACGAGGACGGACGCGGGTTTTGTCAAGCTCTGCAGGATCGAGAATTGGTAATATCGGAAATTGAAGTTGTATGAATCAGAACAAGAGCGCAGATAAGGGCTTCCGCACGTACTACGATCCTTTCAATCCTATCTACATACGCAGTACCCAGGTTCAGATTTGGGCGAGTCTAAGCGAGCGCCTGCTCGTCGGCACTTGCCGAGGTGTTCAGTATCGCGCGCGAGGCCTTTTTTGTATCTATCCGTTTGTCTCCGTACCACGACGCTACTGTACGAGAGAACCGGAACATCGCTTTCATTCCTGACGACTCGAATTATCGTTGCTCCGACACGGGGCCGGCCCCCGGTCCTTCGTCTTTGTCGTCTACTTCCATCTCCGAAGCACATCTCAGGCTCCTCTTCGGCACCAGCATCCCCCTTTAGGCTCTTAATCTATGGGCTGCACCTTCTCCAGATCTACCCTCGGACTATCCGATGAATCCGCCCTCTCTGAGCTGCCGTTTTTCTCTGAAGACAGTGTAGAGAATAGCTGCCTGCCGCCTAGGCCGTCTTCTGTCTGCGAGGAATGCTGGGAAGGACCCTTTGCCAGACACTTCGGGATTCCCTTGGTGTCACCGCGGAGTGAGAGATGGTATCGGCGCTGGCCCGAGGAAATTTCGTACTCGACCTCGCTCACAAAATTGGAGTCTCGTGTTGATGCAGGCTGTGCATGGTGTCGACTCATCTACAGGCTCGCTCAGTACTGGCACGCCAGTCATCACCATGACACGAAAGGGTTGATCATCACGCTGCGGGGTACATTGGACCAGGACTCAGCTCCGGGACAATCGTTACAAAAGCTGATTGTGGAAATAAGCCCTGGGCGAGTTCGCACCGACTTTTTCTTGTACACGGATCCAGGTGCATAGGGCGCGTTCGAGCCGGGTTTAAGGACGCAACTGATATCGAGATAACATCAGAGGATCCCGCAGCGCCGTACATCAAAACACGAAGCCACATTCGCAACGTTGGCTCGCCTCATGCACTGGCTTTTGCAAGACAGCACCTCGACGAGTGTATGCAGAGACACGAGCAGTGCCGCAAAAGCTCGACTAGTAGCCCTTGTCTCCCCACGCGCCTCGTGGATTGCGCGGACCTCGCTCGTCCACGGCTGGTTTCGACAATTGGGGAATGCGGCGAATACCTTGCGCTAAGCTACGTGTGGGGCGGGGACCAAGTCCACAAGACTACGATTGCGAACCTATCCACGTACGAACAAGGACTCGCCGTCGACGATCTTCCCCCGACCATCCGCGATGCAATCTACGTCACGCACATGCTGGGCCTCCGGTGGCTATGGGTCGACAGCCTATGTATCGTACAAGACTCGGAAACGGACAAGGCGAACGAGATCGGTCGTATGCATCACATCTACCGCTATGCTCACTTGACGATCATGGCCGGCAGCGCGAATAGTGTCCACGACGGCTTTCTTCAAGAGCGACCTCCCCCGGATCTTGTCCTTGACGACGGCGTTGCTCTCCCTTTCATCTGCCCTCCATGCCCTACAACCCCCACGGGCTGGGAAGACTGTTCCGGGGCACTACTTGGGGTCGGTACTGTCTTTGTCGCTCCAATATATTCCAGCATCACTGGCAGGGAGCACAGTTACGAGCTAGGGCGCATGTCGACGCGCGCTTGGTGTACACAAGAGTACCTGATGTCTCCACGCGCACTCATCTTCACTCCTACGACGCTCCTGTTCCGGTGCCTTTCCACCGTGCAAGGTGTCGGCAGCTCATTCTACCAGATACGCGACGACACCCGGATCCCCAACTCGTTCTTCCTCCCGCTGGTGACACCTGCAGCAGAGCTCGATCCCCAGGAGCGGAGGGACGTGCACATAACCTGGATGAAGGTCATCGAGGACTACACCCGCCGCACCGCCAGCGACGAGTCGGACAAGCTCGTAGCGTGCGCTGCGATCGCGGAGCTGTTTCACGGTATCCTGGGCTCCGAGTACCTCGCGGGAATGTGGCGCTCCGACGCGCTCCTTGTCCACCTACTCTGGAGAACTGGTGACAAATTCGAGGCAAAATCACGCGGATGCCCACATACCCGCCCCACTGCCTACCGCGCGCCATCGTGGTCGTGGGCCGCGATCGAAGGATCAATCGACCACATCTTTCCGAAGGCTCTGAGTCTCGGAGACCCCCAGACCGTTGCGCTCGCGGAGATCACTGAGTGCCGGGTCACACTCCAAGATCCCGCACTTCGCTTCGGTCGAGTGACGGACGGGGTCCTCGTTCTGCGCGGAACGCTGCTACTCTGCCGCGGTGGATCTCACAAATTAACCAACAGCTTGTTGTCCGTCCCGCTATCATCTTTCGAGCAAGCACGGTGCCAGTGGCAGCGTGGGCTCGACGGGGTAATCTCGGATGAAGAAGACAATGTCCGCTCGACCAAACCAGGTTACAGCGCAGCTGTTTACATGGACTGCGAAGTCGACGAACCGCCGGGGCGGATGTGGCTTGTCCCGCTTGTGCGGACCCGACCAAAACATCGCGAAGAACATGTGCTGCATGGACTTGCTCTCGAGCTCGCTCCTCCATCGAACGGCTCAGGATCTACACCCCAGGAATATCGCTTTCGGAGGATTGGGTACTTCTGCGACTCCGTCGAAGTGACAAGGTCCGTCAAGGACTTCACCGAGCACTCACTGTGGCATCCGCTACTTCAGGCCACGAAGGTCGGAGAACGTCCATGGACTGACATTGTGGTTATATGAGCGAAGTTTTCACGGGGATTGTACTCTTTGAATAATGCGGACTCGGAAGGGCATGACCAATGGTTTGAAGTCATAGCATACCTACATACCTACACCTGTCAATTCTAATCTCGCGATATTTGCTTCTAGGGACTCTACGATACTCCTACGCACGCCGCCTCTACGTGAATGATGAATCGTTACTGGATGCAGTCAAGAACGCTCACCTAGACCGGTAGCCCAAGCGGCAGGCCGCGCAGGTCGACGAGCCGATCCACTGACGAGACGAGGTAGACAAGCTCTCCGCCACAACTGCGCCTGTTCGCGGGGCGGAGGAGCGCAACGCACACATGCGAGACGTTTGCGGCGTGTCGACTCGACCGTGCGCGGAATGCGCCGCGTGCCGCGTTGTTCCTGGCAACGCGGAGTCTGCTGAACGTAGTCCGTAGTATCGAGTCTTGATCTTCGCCGTCTTGTTGTAATTTCGTGCCTCAACACGAGAGGGGTGTCGAAGGGATGTTTGCTTCCAGGAGGTGGAGCGGGTGGCCGGGACAGCAAGCTCGTCGTGTCGACAATTCCGCTCGTCGCGACGACGAGCTGAATAGAAGCGCGGCCCAGAACGGTGGACGTGCCTGTGACTAGCGCGGTAGTAAGTGCGCTTTTCAAAGCCTCGTGTCTTAGACGTACTCAACTTGGCTTTTGGCGATGTGGAGATATCGCGTTTTCTTGCTACGCGGAGGACTCGCGATGTTCTTTGCCGTCTCCTGCCTGCGAATTGAACTTGATCCTGCCAGCATACCCCGGCGCGTGGCTGTTGCGGAACGCAAGTATCTTGCAGATACAACGCCTGATGCGCGGATTATCAGCGAAATGCGGTGGGCGACACGGAAGTGACCATCGTGCTGCGCATCGCCACTTGCGTACCGGAGTTACCTGAGCGGTGGGAATCGTCAGCCCAGCTTGCGTACGTCGAGCAGCAAAAATACTTACCGCGAGCCCAGGTAGGGCACGCCGTGACGAACGGATCCGAGCAGCGGGATTGGAGATCCATAAACCGCGTGTGCAAAGGTCTTGCGGTTATCGAACGGACGAAGTTCAAAATTGGAACGTGTTGTTGAAAGGCAGGTGATCGTGGCGGGAGTTCTTAGAAGTTCAAGGTGAGCGTTGCATGAGGAGTAAAATAGTAGCAATACCCACTCTAGAGGACTGCTATGCGTATGGAAAGCGGTAGAGAAACGCAGGTCCTGTTTCTCCTCGAATCGCGCCATAACACGCACGGCGCACACACTCTGATGCATGTGAGTCAGCCGCGATGGTCGCGAAAGCGTTAGACATAATATCAATCCGCAAGACGATTAAATGCATATCAGCGCAGGCCCGCGCAGCATGGGGGTAGTCAGACATCGAGGTATAGTATCGGCAGCGCGAGGCGGTCGATGCATGTTTCAGGCAAGACGAGGCCTATGGTCGTGGAGACCAACAGGGCATTTTCGCACCGAGCCTGTAAATACGAAGCTATTAGCTAATACAGCTCACGTACATAAGGGCTAGCACTTCACAAACCTCACTGTGGGAAGGATCGACGCTTGTATGAGGTGTTCAAAACACCTTCGCCTCCAGAATAGGTGTTCCGAACACCTAAAAGGTGCACACCTGTAATAATTGTATAATATAAGTCGGTGTTCAGAACACCTCTATTCACTGTCTGTTTAAGCAGCTGTTCCGCACACCTGAAATATATACATTTTTTAACAGTGTTCTCCACAGCTCCGGCACAAAAAGGTGTTCTCCACAGCTACTTACATTACCTATATCAAAGCACCGTACTCGCGAGTAGGGTGGTCGCTCCAGGCACGTATCTCGTCGCCGTCACTATTGTGCGCACGCGCCGCCTGTCTAGCTCACTCTTCAGGCCTCGAGCTTCGTCTCCCTCGCCTACGCGCGCCCGCGCGCCGGGCACGCAGGCTGCTGTCATGCATGTCAGAGCGACGTGTTTGACGTACATGTCGAAATCGGCGTGGGGTTGGCGCGGGATATTCCTTCCTGGCCTGCACAATTGTGAACCCCGGCGCAGAAGTCATAGACGACAGTGCAGACTCACGGTCATCGCCTGCTGTCCCCTACGCATGCCGGGCCTCCAGCACAACCGCCTCCGTGATGGAATGGAGGGGTCCGACCGCGACTCGGCGCCCGCTGCGCGACGACGTGAGCCTTTTGATCCAAACCAGACTCATACCCAATGGTAAGCGCATCCCAGAGTGCGCCCCACCCTCCTCACAGAGCCATTGCAGGGCATATAATGGAGACGCCGCCGTCCAAGTTGTCGAGGTCATTATGGCGTCACCGTGCAGTACGCGCCGCCGTCGTAGAGTCAGCCGCATGCAAGACGCGTGTTGTCGATGTGAAACGCATTCAGTTGAGCTATCTTGTTCGCGCGCATGCGGGTGCAGGACATGTGGGAAGAGGTTGTGACGGTGACAGCGATCTTGCAACTGCGTTCCGCGTCCCGCTACACGAGCCTGTCCACGGCGCGGCGGAGTGGGAAGTTGTTTGTGACCAGGTAGGGTTTCGACGCGAGTCCGAGAGAGGGAGGAGAGGGGGGCTGCAATGCGTGCGTGCGTGTCTTCTTGCGCAGGCTCAGGCTAGGGGGTGTGGTCCGGGCATGCCCTGCGCACGAGAGGCGGGTCGAGACTGACAGAATGCGAGAGTCATTCATTGCACAACGTCCATCTGCCTGCCACTGCGACGTCCGCGACCACCATACCCGTTCTCCCCCGCAGGCTTCTGCACGTCATGCTTCAGGTCTGGGCGTGGGGGGGGGGGTGGCAACGAGGATGTGTGTGTGTGCGGGAGTCCTTGCTGACTCGGCAGATAGTAGCTTACTGCACAGGCGAGTAGTTTACGAGAGCAATGGTTGCCAATATTTGCGAGTGTCACTTACGACTCGTTTTTGGCGTTATCGTGGTAGATGAGGGCACTGACGATGCCCTCAGCCTCAACTGATGCTGTACCGATACGCCCGGAGAGCGTCGCGTTGACACCACTGAGAATCTTCATCGGCTTGCATATAGTTACCCAGAAAGACAGAATATGTGAGATGAATAGGATATTGGGGAAACAAGGAGCGACAGGCGAACGAAGCGCGAGGAATTCGGCGCAAGTTGCTGGGGACACAAGATGGGCGTCTATCCAGTTCCCAATTAGGAAGCTAGTTGCGATGACGTCACTAGCGGCTCAAGAGCCTCCCTCTTTGTCGTTTTGCATCTTGACCTCGAACCACCATGATCCCTCTGCGCACTGTGCTTTTCAGCTGTTATCGACGCTCCCTCGTTCTCGTCTTGATCAACG